AGCAGAAGACCTCCTAATTATTTAAATGACTACATTCATTATCATTAGGGAGGAAGAATGTAGTAAAAAACATGTGTCTTCAATTCTTTATTATTTTTTTGTTGTGTTTGTAAACAAATCCATTATAATTCAATATAGTATCGTTCAAGTTATTAAAAACCTTTCTAAAGGTGATAAAAGTTCTTTTTCATTCATTCTTACTCTCATTACAATAGAGTACTCGGCTGATGTTCAAGAGGTACTTAGATCTAATCCCATCGGTGTCACTAACTTTTTGTCAAAGATTTGGCTTAGAATGCCATTTCTTCTTAACTGTACATCTTTTGTTAGAATTTGAGGCATTTATAATTTTATTTTATGAACAGAATTTAAACTTAAACTTAATTCTATTTATTCATTATCAGCAAGTTTGGTTAATTAGGTTAGGTTATGACAGTAACTGCGGATGCCTAATCCACGTCAGGATACCGGACGCATATCCTCTGCCTTCCTTATTCTACTTATTTATCTACACGCTCTTGTAGTAACAGGTGCTTGGTGATGTACAATGGGTGATTGTTGTGGAGAGCGGGACATGGACTAGGTGAGGAGGGAAAGGAAGTGTGACGTGTAGCAGTACTATGATCAGTCAAAAACATCCGCAAAAGAGCAGTTTAAAGAAATAGGAATTATGACTGTTTTTAGCTTATACATTTATCAAATAGCCCTTTATATTAAATCAATTCATGAAAGATTGCCAAAATTGAACTCTTTTCATATATATTCAACCAGAAAAGGTAATGAATTGGCGTTCAACAGACATAATTTATCGGTTTATGAAAACATCCCATCTTATAGTGGTGTTAAATAATTCAATAGCTTACCTGACAATATAAGTAATTTTAATTCATTTAAAAAACGTTTGAAATTATTTCTCACCAACAGACCCTTGTATAAATTAGAAGATTTTTTCCAACTTCCTGAAATTTGATTTTATGATAATAACAATATTCTTTTCCTACAGTTACCGAACAATGTACATGTTCTCTCACTGATATGAGGAAGCAAAGTGGCCAATTCGCTCATCAGTGAGACAATGTTAACATTGTCTCACTCTAATTACTTTGTCTCACTCCAGATTTGCAACGTGAAGGCACGAAATAGTGAGCGCGTAACATGCAGGCAACGTCGTATGCGCGCGACATACGTTGGCAGCACTGGCTGTAAATCAGCTGGTCAGCTGTTGTACTGTTGTATTTGTCACTTCACATTAAATGTTATATTAAAAGTTCACTTCTGTGTAAAAATAGGTTGTTTCTTCACAAATTTATTTGTTTTATGGTAACTGTAGGAAGAGTATAATGTGCAACTCGAGTTCAAAGTACAATTGCCTCACTCGAGAAACCATTCCTCACTCGCCTACGGCTCGTGAGTAAGAATTTCTCTCGAGTGAGTCAATTGCTCACTTTTCTCACTAGTTACACAAATAACTATTGTAAGTAGTCTTAAGTTTAATATTGTGTTTTTATAACTGACTCCATTCTGTACAAAATGTGCAATATGAATAAAGTTATTTTGATTGATTGATTGAAACTATTAATAATTCGTGCTGTGTATATATATGGAGTATGTATATTTTTTACTGTAAAAACACTTTACCTCATTTGCATGAAAAAATTGCCAACATCCATACAACACTCGACATAGAAAAACTCTTCAGTTCCCTATCAATAGAACTGTTATTTATGTGAAAGCTCCTTTGTATATGGGTAGGAAACTATTCAACTAACTCCCTAATCAAATCAAATCGACAGAAAATATGGATATTTAAAAAAAACTGCTAAGGGAACATTTGTAAATACTTTGTCCTTATTCAGTTGATTCTTTTTGTCTAACGTCACTCTTTTTTGTTGTATTTTAAACCACTGACCTCACTTTTAATATATTACTTATTGTAAATTCTATGTGTCAAATAAACATTTCATTTAATTTCAAACCCCTTATTATTTGGCCGTGTAAGAACTTCCCTACTCAAATGAGTGTTAGTATCTTAAGCTGTAATCAAATTATCGTCTAAAAATACTGCCCCACCTTCCAAGCCTTGGAGTGTCTGTTCAATGGAATTTTGAAAAATGCCAGGAGCTGAGGAGATGCCATATGGCATTCTCTGATAGGAGAAAACCCCTTTATGAATACTGATTGTGCATAATTGTTTTGGCTCGTCATTTAATTTAAGTTGCATGTAAGCTTGGCTGCGATCAATTTTACTAAAGGTTTATCCACCTTGTAAATTAGCAGATAGTTCCTCGATTTTAGTTAGAGGATACTTGTTAACTTCTTGGAATGGAGTAACTTTAAAATCCCTACAGATTCTAATTTCCCGACTTTTCTTTAAAACTGGGACTATAGGTGTTGCCCACAATGCGCTACTTACAGGTACTAAAACTCCACCCTTCCTCTGTTGTAGAACAGCTCCTGTTCCTTATAAGCTAAACACTCAATTATAAGGCGGATTGGATAAGACGGATCTGCTGAAGTACGGTACTCTACCATAAAGCCAATTATGAAAAACAAAGATAAAAGTTTGGAGAAAGAATAGTTTCAAACAGACCACCTTATCTTGAAAAACATCAAATAAATAACAAAGAACAGTTTGGATTCAGGCAAAATCTTTCAACCATAGATGCAGTTTCAACATTTATCGATTTCATCATTAAGAATATGGATAATGGATAGTAAAACCTCTTCTGCAGCAATCTTTTGTGACTTGTCAAAAGCGTTTGCCACTATTGACAGAAACATAAATTAAACTTAATTAACATAAACATAAACATTAAAAATAATTGTTCGTTTTCTTGTTTGTTATTATTTAAATCTGTGTGATAGTAAGCAATATTCAGTACAAACAATTAACATAATTTAGAACGCCATTATCTTATCACAAGGTATAAATTTATAAATGCACAATATCATTTTGAAAAGAAGTGGAAGAGAACACATACACACAGAAGCAATAATAATTCTGTTTGAACACTCTTTCTAGTTTCAACTGTGTCCACACTCAGTATATAGACTGGTGAAATTTGATATTTTTTGTCGCAGACACAATGACAGACAAACAGACACAAATTGACTCTGATTCAGTTTTCATAGTGTATAAAATCATTCATAGTGTTTAAAAATAACAAAAAACTTTATGATTTTACGCAATGTACAGACAAAACTGTAATTTTATTATGTATTATCCTAAAAACATAAGTTTTTGACATTTCGTTCTACAAATATTTGTATTTTAAACCACCTGATAATTTTGTATTTTGAATCGTTGTTTTGCGCTAAATGGTTTTAGAACAGATTCAAAAAACTGAAAATGTTCTCCAAATAAGTGTTTATCTCTTCGAAGGCCTCTTTCATGTAACCAGGATCATATGACAAGTGCAGCAAGGCCAGGACAAACTTTCGTGGGGGGGGGGGGGGTCAGGTCAGTGGCGGTTCTAGGACCTTGTTAAGGGGGGCTCCTGGGGGGCTTGGGGGATGTTTTACACCCCCAATATAAGAGGGGGGTCTTGGGATTTTTTTATATTTTTAAAGTGGTTTAGTGATTTTCTAAAGCAATTTTTAACGCCTAAAACTGTCACAAATTGTAAAAAAACTCCCATTTAACCGGTTGTTTGTCATAAGCAAGTAGACATTTACAAATTCAAACTATGACGATTGCATTCATAAATTTGTAACCATACTTTAGGCTACGGCCATATCCTCCTAAAAACCGTTTAAGACTTTCTTTAGCCCCTGTAGACCCCCCCCCCTTTAGAATCACTACTGGGTCAGGTCATGACTGTGGATAAAAGATTCAAGCACTTTCATTCAAACACCAATTCCCATGCTTATTTCCAAAATGTTGATATAGTTACAATTATGTAATACTAGCTGTACCCGCGGGCTTTGCCCCGTTTAACTTCATAAGTATTCGCATGGCTCATTCACGTCCTGGTTGAAGTTTGTTCGCTACGCTCACTCACCTTTAGGTTGGAGCTCGTTCGCTGCGCTCATTTGCTTCGCTAACTCGCCTCCAGGTTGAAGTTCGTTCGCTACGCTCACTCACCTTTTGGTTGGCAATTAGCTGTTGTCATAAATTTAAAAAAAATAATAGTACTGCACCCTGTTGGTAATCCTTGTAACTTTTATGCTATTGAACATCATAGAACAGAACCAACTTGTTTAATTGAAACAGCTGTTAAGATTCATTAATTCCTTTTAAATATGAAAAATCATAAGGTTAACATGGGGAACTACAGAACCACTGGGGCGGAGCCCGAAAGGATTTTTGAGATGAGAATAATGCTTTAATGTTAATCGGGAATGTGTGCTATCATCATGCCAAATTTCAGCCCAATCCGTCCAGTAGTTTATGCGTGATTGAGCAACACACACACAAACATACACACAAACACACACACAAACTCACAAACTTTCAGATTTATAATATTAGTAAGATATTACAGGATGATAAATCTGTTTTGTTTGAGTAAAGTATTTTTGTTGAACCTTCATAGTTTTATTACCTCTTTAATATAGATCAGATTTATTAATAGTTTTTTTTTTTTTTTTATGAAATATGAATAGTTACTGCAAAACGTAATAAAACATAAAATATAATCATCTTTTGTGGTTTCCATTTTATAAACTTGCACTTTTTAAACCTAGTGTCAATTTTTACTACTAAATTTCGGGATTTGGGGGGGGGGGTTTGACCCCCTAACCCCCCTGGCTACGGCCTTGAAGTGCAGGAATCATCTGCATGCATAGTGTACAGTACAATGTTTTCGTCAGCTGGGAAAGTCAGCTGAGTCAAGCGTGTAAAGTATATCAGACTTGTATTTTTGGTGTTGCATATGTTTATTGTAATAGCTATTGTGCGCAATATTTTAATGTTTGGAAACCTACTGTAAATCAACAAACGAATAAGGCTAAATGTGAACAAGAAATGTATTTATTTTATAATGTATGGTCTTTTTCAGAAGAGGAAATGGATTTGAAGAGGAAAAGAAACTTCAATTTGTTGCAAGAAAGATAATTTAGATAATCTTTTATAGTACTTTAAACCACAGCTAAAATGATTTTAAGTTTCTATTATACTATAAACTACTATTGAAAGTAAGTAATTCACTATGTAAAACTTGACTTAAATCTGTACAACCGTTATGTGTATAATGTGATATTATTTGATAAACAATATTTTAAAAAAGCATGGGCTTACCGATATATAATACGATGGAACATAAAAGACAAGCAAATTAAGAAAAATAGTTAAGGTTGGCTATTGGTATTAAATACACATACAGTAACAAAACTTAATTAAAGACATTTTAAAGTTAAATAATACAATACATAACTTTTTTAAACATTCAAAAAATTTTCCAACAAGACACTTATTTAAATAGACATAAGAGCCAACTGACTAATTCTAATTAGTTACTAGATTGTCTGATGAGTTATAAGAAAATTTTAAAAAATAATGTCTAAGATCACAGAAAAGTTTCCCCTTAAGTGTCCAATATGTAAAAAAACTATTTTAACTAATTGGGAAATGAAGAATCATATATATGTGCATACAGGTGAACGTCCATTTCAATGCTTGACGTGTGAGGAAACATTTATTGAATTACATAAGGTAAAGTGTCATTTGTTGACACATTCTGTCAAGTTTCCTTTTAAGTGCACTACATGTGGAAAATGCTTCACAACCATTAGCAAAATGAAGAGACATACATTAATTCACACCGGGGGATAACCTCATATTTGTCATATATGTGGAAAATCGTTCACACGCAAATATCATATGAAACATCATATATTGGTTCACACTGAAGAACGACCTCATAAGTGCACTATATGTGGAAAATCGTTCACAAGAAAATGTCAAATGAAACGTCATATATTGGTTCACACCGAAGAGCGACCTCATAAGTGCAAAATTTGTGGAAAATCCTTCACGACCATTGGCAATTTGAAGATACATACATTAACTCACACTGGAGAGCGACCTCATAAGTGTACTATTTGTGGAAAATCCTTCACAACCATTGGCAATTTGAAGATACATAGATTAACTCACACTGGAGAACGACCTCATAAGTGCACTATATGTGGAAAATCCTTTAACCAACTCAGCCATATGAAGAAACATACAACGCTTCATACGGAAGAGCGACCTTATGAGTGCACTACATGTGGAAAATCCTTCAACCAACTCAGCTATTTAAAGAAACATAACCGAATTCATACTAAAGAGCATACTGAAGAGCGACCTCACTTGTGTCCTATATGTGGAAAATCCTTCAAATCCAATAACGGAATGACACTACATGCATTGGTCCATACTGAAGAGAGACCTAATTTGTGTCCTATTTGTGGAAAATCCTTCACAACCATTGGCAATTTGAAGATACATACATTAACTCACACTGGAGAGCGACCTCATAAGTGTACTACATGTGGAAAATCCTTCAAAACCATTAGCCAATTGAAGTTACATACATTAACTCACACTGGAGAGCGACCTCATGAGTGCACTATATGTGGAAAATCCTTCACAACCATTGGCAAAATGAAGATACATACATTAATTCACACTGGAGAGCGACCTCATAAGTGCACAACATGTGGAAAATCCTTTAACCAACTCAGCAATATGAAAAAACATACAACGATTCATACTGAAGAGCGACCTCATAAGTGCACAACATGTGGAAAATCCTTTAACCAACTCAGCAATATGAAAAAACATACAACGCTTCATACTGGAGAGCGACCTCATAAGTGCACTATATGTGGAAAATCCTTCTTAACCAACCACAAAATGAAGACACATACATTAATTCATACTGGAGAGCGACCTCATAAGTGCACTACATGTGGGAAATCCTTCAACCAACTCAGGTATTTAAAGAAACATAACCGAATTCATACTAAAGAGCATACTGAAGAGCGACCTCACTTGTGTCCTATATGTGGAAAATCCTTCAAATCCAATGGCGGAATGAAACAACATGCATTGGTCCATACTGAAGAGAGACCTAATTTGTGTCCTATATGTGGAAAATCCTTTAAAACCAATACTGCTTTGAAGATTCATACATTGGTTCACACCGGAGAGCGACCTCATAAGTGCACTACATGTGGAAAATCCTTTAATCAACTCTGCTGTATGAAAGAGCATACAGTGGTTCATACTGAGGAACGACCTCATTTGTGTCCTTTATGCGGAAAATCCTTCAAATGCAACAGCCATTTAAAAAAACATACATTGGTCCACACGGGAAAGTGACCTCATAAGTGCACTACAAGTGGAAAATCCTTTAAGAAACTCAGCCATATAAAGAAACACACAACGGTTTATACCTCATAAGTGCTCTATATGTGCAAAATCCTTTAGGACCAAAAACAGTATGAAGAAACATACAACGCTTCATACTGAAGAGCGACCTTACGAGTGCACTACGTGTGGAAAATACTTGAAATACAAAGACACATTGAAGATTTATATATTGGTACACACCAGAGAGCGATCTCATAAGTGCACATGTGGAAATTGAACTACAGGTTCATGAAGATTGTTGTGAAAGCCTGATGTACATTTTGCCCATGTTTAGCATCATTAGGAGCAGAGGTTGTTTTTATATCTTTTTAAACACTATTACTTTTCATATATTATTAGTTGGTTAATGATTTATGTAGCCAGCGCAGGAATCCGAGCTTGCGTGTTGGGACCGAAAACGTTACATATCTTCTTTTAATGTTTAACCCTCCATTGGTGATACCAGAGTTTTCCTCCGGGCGCATTTGTTTTAATAGAAAAATATGTAATATCGCCAGCCGGCAGCTTTAGAACTAACAGTACCTCACATACATCCTTCTACAATTATATTGATTGTACATGGTTTATGGTCGTTTTAGTATTATAATATGTGACAAAAATACTTTTTCTAATATTTCAACACTCTGGAAAAAAACTCTGTGTGTCACCGATTGAGTTGTTTTTGTTTACTCTATATTTTATAAATATGTAAAGTAAGAGATTTTATTGAGTTCATGTACAGATTTATTGATTATACAAGTTGTAATACGTTTTTATATTAATACCTATAAAAAACTTTGTTTGTCTCATGTTTCAACACCCGGTAAAAACTCTGTGTACCACCGATAGTGATTTAAAATCAAAGACACCGTTAAAGGGTTAAGAATACCCTTCAACCCTCCTGAATTTCCTGTCCTGAAATACGTAGCTTTCACGGCTGACCTAAAGAACTATAACATCAACTGATGATCCACTGTTAAACAATCTCAAAAATAGCTCAGATTCAGATTATTTGTGTCATTTTCTAAATTCAACAGAAAAAAAGCAAATTTCTCCTCTCTAAACATCACCCGAAAATTCTTAATTAGATTGTCACACATTTCGTTTTAGGCAAAATGGCTAAAATGGACACAACATTTTTACAATTTTGATCTGATCGCAATTGCACTCCAGCGCATATTAAGATTTTAAATAATTATATAATGTAATACATTTAAAGATACAAATCTTCATTGTTTGTTAGTTAATGTCATGTTGTTTTACACTTTACACCTATTAGTTGTATCTTTCACTGATTATTTATTTAGATGTATTCTATAGGTTTTTATGCATATGGCAACTGAAAACTTTAATGTAATGTCAGAGTACTTTCCAGGGCTATTATCTGAGTGTGTATTGCCTTGATCCTTAAAAGACAGTAATCATAAGCTTTTGTAACTTAATTTTATCTTACTAATATTATAAATGTGAAAGTTTGTGTGTCTGTTTGTTTGTTCGTTTGTTTATTTGTTTGTTTGTTTATTTGAAGTTCAATCTCGCATTAACTACTGGTTGGATTGGGCTGAAATTTGGTATGGTGATAACTCACATCCCCGATTAACATATAGACATATTCTTATTTCAAAAATCCTTTTGGGCTCCACCCCCAGTGGCTCTGGAGTTTCCCATGTTAACCTTATGAGTATTCATATTTAAAAGAAATTAAAGAATTTTGTCAGCTGTTTCAACTACACTAGTTGGTTCTATGATATTAAATAGCATTAAAAAGTTATAAGGTTTACCAACAGGGTGCAGCACTATTAATATTTTTTGCATTTATGACAACAGCTAATTTGAACTAACTAGCAACAAAAAGCTGTGATTACAATGAGAACTTTACTTTTTTCTATTTTTAGGTGCAATGGTAGAACATTATGGCTATGGTAGATATGCTATACTAAAGCATAGGCCTACCGTAAATTAAAAGAATCAAATTTTCTTAAACTGTGTCCTCTCCCATTGCCAACGCAAAGCCAAATATAACTGCAATATGCATTTTATACTTTTTACGCTAAACCCGTACGAAGGACGGGTACTCTGCTACTTATGTAAATACTAGCTGTTGTACCCATGCTTTGCAATGGGAAGAGGACACAAAATAGAAACATTTTAATCTTTACATTTGTTGCATATAATAGTTACACATCCGCCAACGCTTTTAGAAACAAAATTCAACTTTTATGGCCTTAATAGGAACGTTTAAGTTATGACTTTTAAATCTGGTAAGTAGTGGATACCACCATTTTGATTTTGATTAATTTTAAATCTTGTGTAGGCTGATATGAGAAAAACTGACCAAATGTTTGAATAAAACTTTGACATACATGATTTACCTTCATCTCCCTTTCACATATCACATATCTTTTAATTTATTATTGACATTTTAAATTTCAATTTTGAAGTTGCAAAAATACTAATTATCAAATTTAAATGAACATTTTTTTAAATTTCATTCTTCTTTATATTAAATCACAAATCCTTCCGTCTTCAGTTTCTTCACTCACAATAAATCATTAGCTAAACTAAGTCAGCTGTTATAAAGTTTAGAAATATTGCTGTGCCTTATCAATACAGTCTTTTGAACTATTAAAGATAAAGAAACTATATCTATAGGTACTATAAACAATTTTAAACAAATAATTTAGCATTAAAGACAGCAGACAATACTAATATGATTATCAAAGCATCAAGGACTAAGAAATGTAATAGCAAATACAGTATATGTTTCATTGCATCTCTGATTATACTCTACAAAAATATCAACAAACAACTTAATATACAAACAAGTTCTTTTAATCAGTTCCATCGTCCATTGCCTTACAATAACTTAATTTACCTACATATACATATAAAAAACAATGTGATGTGCAAGTTATGTTAAGTTACCGGTAATCTAAACACATGTTAAGCAGTTACAATTTATTTAAAGTAGCCTTCAAATTCATACAAAACATCTATACATTGTAATTTTCATACTGTTTCCATAAAAACATATCAATAACATTATTTTCATAACTTAGACGCTTTAAAAAATCCAAAGCAGAGCCGGAGTTGATACAGCAACGGTTATAGAATCTGTTTTTTTCTATAATCATTGACATAGTTTTAGAATAAATAATCCATGATAAAAGGTTAAATTAAAATAAACCTACCTCATAGTTATAGCAAATATTATATTTAATTTCTTTGTATCAGCTGTCTGCAATTGTGAAATATGCAGTTTAGCAGTTCTTCTTGTTTACATTTGTCAAAGCAAATGTAAACAAACATTGTTAGTGTTCTCATTGCAGCCATGGAGACCAATCAATATTTACTTTTAAAATGTTCACTTCAGAACTTTTAAAGCCAAAGGGGGCAAAGCCTACGGTCAGTATCGAAATGTGAGTAGTCCTATAATGGTCCTTGGTATGGTAGCTATATTTTTGTAAATTTTAAGCCCATTAGGTTCAGTAGTTTTTGCACCTATTAGTAACACACATACAGACAGACACCATTAGATTTTTATATAATAGTATAGAAAGATATATGTTTAAATATATTTTATTATTTTAGTGTATTAAATTGTTCACACTCAGTATTGAGACTGGCAATTACAGCATTGTGGTAAAACTCATAACTCTAAAGCCCCCACAGCAGATGAGCATGTTGGGTTGGAAGTCAGGTTGGAGTTGGCAGTTTACACTGGAGCCTACGAATAAGCATTTTTGTACTTTGTCATTTATGAAATGGATTTTGACTCAGCTGTTGTGTTGATTAGTATTGTAATAAGTTTAACTCAAAATAATAAGAACAAACAATGACGTGTATGGACCAAAAGGTGGCTTTTGAATAGAAATCGTTATTCACTATATTTGAGGTGAGCGCCCAAAAAAAATCCACTTAGCGTATTAACTGACGTGCTTTATTAAGTGGCACCAGGGCCGGTTCTAGGAATTTTTCAGAGTTAAGCGAACACCCGAATCAGCGTCACACTTAGAATCCCCCCCCCCCCACCACCCCACCAGCAACCCATGAACATTACTTAACTCTATTTGTGAATTTTTTCCCAAAGATTTTGGGAAGAACTTTTTTATTAGTTTAGGTTAGAAGAATACTTGCAATAAAAGACTGTTTATTATTCCCAGGAATTTAACATTTTTACACTTGTACTCATCGTATAAACTTTAGCAAAACCAAGGCTACACTAAAAAAAACAGGCCGTAATGCTCGTCAAGCATGACGTCACGATAGAAGACGGCAATGACGTAATGTTTGCCGTTTGTGATCAGCTGCTTGTTTTAATCTTTCCATGGAAAATAAATAAATAAATACCTACGTCATTGCCGTAAGTTAACAATTTATTTCTAAATGTGAAAACAATTTTTACGCCACACTACACTATTTTGACGAACTTCCCACACAAGGATTTAGCCCAGAAAACAGCTGTTTGCCGCCAGCTTAATCAGGGTTTCATTGCGTACCGGTACTACTGTAGCCTACTGTAATGAGTTTTACCGGACACCAATCAGCTGATTACACTGTATTTTTTTTAACTTTATTTAATTTACAAAGTTGAACAATAAGCAAATGATATAAATAGTAATACAAAAATAACTTGAAGAACATGAGCTAGTGATTGACCACCGTCAACACTAGCAAACAAAGAGAATTTTGATAACACTTAGCCGAATCTGAATGGTAGGTCCAATATCGTATGTCGCTTCAGTCTGTAAATGGTGTTGTGATTGTCCAATAAATTAAGTGCAAGATAATTTGAATGATTTTCCAATTTTATAATGTATTTTTAACTAGATTTTGTAATTTCTTCTTTTACTGTTCGAATTTGAAGATCATTGTGAAGTGTTCTGTTGGTAACAAACCAAGGAGCGTTGACAATTTTACGTAATAATTTTGATTGGTAACGTTGAATAATTTCAATAATTTGTTTAAACTGAACTCAATTTCATGATCCGTTTTTCAATTTCATATTTTATTTTAAAATATTGACATTTTTAACAAAAAAATTGCAATATTTCATAAATAAAACTAGATAACAAAAAATGGATTGCTGAATTGAGTTTGGCTTAAAAAAGGAACTCGAAATGATGGGTCACAAAACCTCCTTCATATTTAAAATAGTTGATCACATTTCAAAATGGCGGAACCAAGATGGCGGCCAAAAAAAATACATCCGTCATAACCAAGTTAAAATAAGTAGACAATGACTGGTAGTGTATACTTATCTTTATCTAGCACTATTTTGAGATTATGGTCTTAGTTTCTAAAAGCACAATGTTAAAATGGGCTAAAAATAAAGTTGTAAAAAGCCCTCATTACTTTAGAATGGATCAAGATTTTTAAAAACTGTTTGTGGCATTGTAATCAGGGTAAAAATCTAGTTCGAAATAATGGGTCACAACCCCACCTTTACATTTGGAAAAAATATTTTACATCCAATATGGCGGATCCAAGATGGCGGCCGGAAATGACCACCTTGTCAAAATGAAGTACTTACTACCCAACAATGTTTGGAAGTGGTCTGGGATTGATATTTGAAAAAATGTAGAAAAAAGTTGGGAGGGGACAATTAAAACTCACCCTGTATAATTAAGATTCATTGAGAGAGAATAAATGTGTAATTTATCCAAAGTCCTTATCGATCTGAAAGACGAGCTGGCTAACAGGCCTATACGGAAGAAGGATATGT